AAGGAAGTGACGGGATGACAAATTCCTTCCGAATATTGCAAATGTTGGTGTAGAAAGAAAGAATGTCATGAATTTTTCTGAACAAATGCGCAAAATTTAGACAGTGTTGCGAAGAATTTAGTAAAAATCAGAAAATGCCAGGTGACGGATGAGCACTTCTCTGTTTTATTGTTCCGTGAAAGCATTCCTGTGGAAATCAATTCATTGCAGACGTTGTTGACAATGTGCTGGGTGTCGCCTCAGCGGAACCCGGCGCTATTTTGTACGAAGCATCAGAAAAATTGCGCGAAGGAGCCACCGGTGTTTATGAGTACATACGTATGATTGGTAGGTTATTATGCCTTGGGTAATTTGGAGGCGAGCGAAAGACAGGGATTGGTCCCGTAGCAGTATCATTTTTTAAAATCGAGGTTTGAGGAATTCAGAAACGGTTTTGCTACATAAGAAGGCGATAACGAGGGAATGAATAACTGCTGCCCGAACTGCTTATTTATACTCATGAGCTGTTTATGAAAGATTATGATTAAATGAAAAGCAAGATTCATCGCTGAGCAGCAGCCGAGGGAGTATGCTGGATTGCGAAGTTGTTACAGCACAGTGTACTATGTTTTCGCCTCAGACCAGCTGCTGAAACGCGCAAGGGAATATCAGCTCCTTCTTTGTGTCCAGATCATCGACTACGAAAAGTATTGGATAATGCAGAAATGATTGCAGTTGTACGACGACCAGTTGCAGATAAAGCGCTTGGGGAAACTATCGGGAAATGATTAAGAAAACGACATAGAATGTTATCAGACAAAACGCTTTTTTCCATTTCAATCCGTATGGCAGCCGAGAGGGACGTGAAGCGAGGCGATCCGACGTCGTCGAAGCTTTTCATTTCCTGCCGTGAGATCATATGTCGGAAGCTGGTTTGAAAGGTAATCTGGGGATCAGTGACTGTGCTGCTGCTGCTGCTGGAGTTTAACTCCTAAAGAAAGTGACCTGGAAATTAACTTATCGAAAAAAGAAGATGATGCAGATTGCCGATATCGTATTGCAGAAAAACGGTGTTAACTTAAAAGAAGTTGGCAGCTACGTCTATCTCAGCGAGAAGTGTGCTTCACAGTCTCCACCTGGAGAATGCACATGGAAGGGCTGCCTGTTGCCTCAAATTTTACAGCGTCTTTGGTCCTCAGCAGAGTCGATCCAGGCGGGCTGTGCACACTTCTTCAGTACCACTGTGCTGTACACAGTGACTATAGATGCGACACAGAAGTTGAAGGGCAAGCAGAAAGAACGATATAGCTGAATGATGCTTGTGTGTGTGTGTATGTCTGTGTGTATGTGTCTGTGTGTGTCTGTGTGTATGTGCGTGTGCGTGTGTGTGTGTGTGTGTGTGTCTGTCCTTTCGTGACCACTATAAGCGGTGAAACTCTAGCTCAGATGAGCGCTGTGCATGGTGTCACTGCGGCCATGTAAGAAAATAAAGTTGAATTGCCAGGGCGCATTGTTTATTATATTACAACCGATGGACGTTGCGCATTAATTAATGCTATCCGCAAGAATATAAATGGTTAGGGCTGGCACAGCTGCGCGGGATGTACAGGGGTATTGCAGTAACGTTTCTGAAAAGTGAAACCCTTGCCGGTTGTCCGGACAGACTTGATATTGATGATATATTCATATACCTGTTTATTCAGATGCAAGTTATATTCGAAAAACACGGTGCCTAATCTTTCATTTAACTTTTTTTGCAGAGGATCAGATGGAGAAGGCTGTGCGGCAATGCCTTTTGGCCGCAGCGCATCAGTTCAGCATCGACTCACAAAAGAAGTTGCTTAAGGTGCATGTGTAATAATTTTCCAGTGACCGTCAATAGCCAGTAGCGTTATATTTTTCGCTAATCTCTGATCACTTATTTCGGCACATCAGTTTGATCTGCATAAATTTGCAACTTTTAAGGGCATTTTCTAGGCAGCTGCACTTGGAAAGTCATTGTTGCGGCGTCTGGATGCATCTCAGTTTGTGGATATATGCCGTGTGATAAGGGTGTTGAATTCAGTACGAAAGCCGTATGTTGGATTGGCGCTCTCGTTTGCCCAGTAAGCTGTTGCACGGATATTTCTTTGTTTAGTTATATTTTTTGTATCTGTATCGAAAGAACGGTAAGACGAGATAATTTTTAATGATAGCTTTCGAGATTAAGTGATTTTGCTCATCACACAGAAAGGACTCTGAGAGAGGCTAAAACTTTGCTTGGTGCAGCTATTTTGTAAATTTTCGAGCCGGCAGCCCGTTCAGGAGATGAGACGAATGTCAGGATCGCCAGCAAGCCGACCTTCGAGTTATGCAGCGCTGGTCAAAGGAACGGGGAAAGTTGCTAGTTGCATAGCTGGCGAAGCAGGTTATACATTATAGCTGGTCCAAATTTTGGTGCTGAAAGAACTGTAACGGCTCGGAAAACATTGAATTTACCTAGGAAACGATTTAGGAGGAGCTCAAAACAGAACTTACAAGATTTAAGGAGGTAGGCATGGCTTGACAGGCCTGGTTAACTTTGTAAATGAGGCTCTGCCAAAGCTAGCTGCTATAAAACAAACATTACTTGTTTAGTTGTATTTGATTTCTTTGTTCCTTTATGTTTACTATTTGGTGTCCCTTGTTCGTGGTTATCGGCTGAGGCCTAGTAGCACAGCTCTGTTTCCAATCTCCAGTTTTGCGTGCGAAACTCTTCCCCCCCCCCTTCTCCCCCGCGCACTGGGGATTCTTGACGTGTTTCTTTTTGTCAGGTTGTCCAGCCCCCCCACCCCCCTCCCCTTCCCACCTCTGTCTAAGTTGTTACACAATATAGTTCGTTCCGACTGCAATACACACGACTCACTGCGTATGACATAGCAACTGTTAATTCAGTATAAGCGCCTTGACTACACTTTTCACTTTGTTTTGCTTGTTGTGTTTTTGTATTTGATATAAATAAACCTAAAGGGCTGCCAGAAGCATGATGCCTCATAGACTCCAGTAAATTACTTCCCTCAACCTGGTCAGAGAATATTGTGAAATATAATGTTTACCTCGCCTTAGTTTACCGCTTTGCGACTCGAGAAGCATTGATTTTTCAGTCATTTTCATGCTGCACAAAATTTGTTAATACAGGTGGGAGCAAAGGGCCGTGGC